AAAAAAAAAAAAAAAAAAAAAAAAAAAAAAAGAAATCGAGGAAAACAAAAAATCTACAACCATGAATCCGTGACGTTCCATTCTGATGGACAGGTGACGTGGTTTACTGAATTTCACGTGCACAACGAAACAGTGCAATAATCTACAGTGGTTTTCGTTTTCATTTTATTTCTCTTTCGCGTTTAATACTCGCGTGTCAAATTTTTTAATTTATTTTACTGCATCATTTAATGCATAAAATACACGAGTAAATGTGTACGATATACGTGTACAGCACCTGGAAAAAAAAATTAGAACCAATTTTCAACATTTTTGTAAAATTTAATAACTCGAACGATTATTTAATCATAAATTTATATTAATACTATTTTTATCAATTAATAGAGCACCGTGCGTATCTTTTATTTCTGAACGATTTTACCAAATATCCAGAATTTTTTTTTTTTAAATCAATCATTGCGGCGATGCGTGTTTTACAAGCGTTTCAAATAAATCGGTTGAATTTCTATCAAAAGATCTAGAAGTATAATAAAAAAAAATAATATTACGTAGTATAAATATGTATGAATCATTGATACGCATGAGATGCATTAATAATCGATAAAAATTAAATACCATTAATATATAATATTTTTAAGATTTTTAATGATATAAAATATTCGGGGAAGGATATTTTCAATAAAATGTAATCTTCGAGGCAAACAAATGCAACGTGAAAAATAGGATGGATAGTCTTGTACACGAAGAAGACGCCGCGGAAGATGGATGGATCCAACGAAATGATTTACGATAGTCACCTAATCTACAAGTAGGAATCCTTCGGTTGAAGTTCTATTCCGTGCTACTTACTGGTAACGTATTGTTACGCGATTGAAATTAATTACAGGAATAAGCTGTATCACGCAGACACTTCGAATATTTACCCACATAGATATGAATAAACATCTTTCGTAAATAATAGTGGTTGATCTTCTTATCCATTAATTGTTCATTTTTATTATCTTTATTTTTGGTAAAATATAATCGTACTCTTCATACTTGAGATAAATATTAATTAAATATTATCTTGGAAATGAGTCAATCATGAATACGAGTCAATCTGATTCTTTATATTATCAAATGATAATAAGCTGATTTTTATATTTTTTAATCCTCAATGAAGAAGAATGATCGTAAATCAAATTGTCTAATGCTTTCAGCTTCAAATTGATCCGCTTTCTGATTTGAATTTCCTGAAATATAATCCTTGGTTAATGGATTACCCTTTCTTTAAAATCCTCTTCCTTTCATAAATCATATAAATCCGGATGAAACATGGAATCTATCTATAATAGTTTAAGATTAGGGTGGACCGTCCTATATAACAGGATAACGTGAAAACTTGTTTTATTTAATCATTATTATATTCTTTATCCAAATATAAAATCTAGATCGAAGAAAGGATCCAATTTATGATTAATTTATAATTCTTTAATGTGTCTATGTAATTTCAATTTACTTATCTCCTTCTCTATCCATAAAAATATTTCAGCGGAGTTTTCAAAATTAAAAATTAAATTAATTCTTCGATCAACGCTCTCCATGAAAATCTAGGATGAATTACCAAGTTTTCTGGCAAACCGTCAGAAATTTAACTTTAACTTTAACACAAAATGATTAATATCATCGAAATGCGTCGAAATCACTACTCAATTCTGCATCTTATGTTCTATCTTTCTTTTCACATAAATTACATAAAATATTATATAAATTTTTATTATTTTAATTTTATTAATTTTATTAATATTACATTATATAAATTATATAGCAACAATCACAATCGCAAGACGAATTGAATAAAAATCGAATTACCTCAATCAACTCGATATAAAAATTCACGTAAAATTCCCCAAAACTTTCTCTCGTCGAAGAAAGCAAAGTATGCATCGTATCTATTTTATAATTCTTCCGCGTTCCCTTTACATCCAACCCCTATTTCACGCGCTCTCCTTTTGATCTTCAACATCCAATCTATCCAAACACAGGCGAAAAGTATCTCTCGTGGCCCTTTCACGACATCTCCTGTCAAAGAGGGGAAATAAATTCGAAACCAATTACAAATAATTCGACTCGTGTCGTCGACCAAACCTTCTATTTGCGAAGAAGCGGGTACAAACATTAAGATCCACCTGAAGCCTCGTCAAGCCACGTTAAATTTTAGATCGGCGAGTGAAAATCTATTTGAGGGGGTCGTCGACCTCGCGGCTCGCTCGCGTCTTAATTACACGAGAAGAGGAGGAGGGGAGGGGAAACTGATCGCGTACGCGGCTACGACGAATTTGCTCTCGATGCTGCGGATTTATATACGGGGCGCAAATCTGAATTTCGTGGAAACTAATTTCCCCGCCTCGGTTAATGGAGTCTTCCCTCGTTCGCGTGGCGTAGATCGTGGCGCCGATTATGGTGTGCTGCGATCTCGCACGATTTACGCTGCCCGCCCCGTGTCGTTTTCACGCAATTCATTAGTTAATCAAGAGCGTCACGCGACCACGATAACCAGGCTTGTTCGAGTTCAATTCAGGGTCGTAAACGCGATGATTTTTGATGCGTTGATTTTAATTTCTCATAGAGATTTTTGAACCTATATTTTTGAGATATAGGTTATATTTAAGCTCTTTTTAATGATAGGAATAATAGAAAAGATTCCATACAGGTTTGTATTGGTAAGAATTGCAAATGGAAATTTTTCTCTGATTGAAGCGTGCTCTCTTTGGAAGTGGAATTTTATTCCTTGTAGGATAGGAATCTATCTCGAATCACAGAGCTTGAAGATCTTAGCATTCATGGGATTGGTGTCATGAAACAGGTTATGGAACATTTTAAGCCTCGAAAAGCACAATCACACTCCAATCACAGGATCGTGAGATAAACCATAGATTGCTCTGGATTCTCAGCCTTTATGTTCTGTAAATAGTTGTGAGTCGTATTAAGATCGAAAATTTCGATTGATCCAGGATTCATTCCAAGATAGTATAATTGTTTTACAACATAGGAATTTAAGGATCTGAGAACTATTGTGGACATAAAATATTCTTGAATTTTAGATTCACGTTTAGTCAAAGGAGATTCAATTCAATTCAATTTCTCACTTTTAATAGGACAAGCAAGTCTTTCAAAATTTAGAATTTATTATCCCATTATTTCATGTTAATATTCATAGATTCCTAAAATATTAAAATATTAAAAATGTGCCTTTCAATTGACAAATCAGTGAGTTTGATTATTCTTACCTGTCCTTGTACAGATACTTGTAATTGTTCCAACAACTCAATACTCTCGATACGATGTTCTATGAATCGTTCACGTCGTTTGGCTCTGATTAATGAGAGAAGAGCGTGTTTGCACTTTAGTCGAACGAAACGAAAAGCCGATGGATCTACCCAATTGTTCAACAATTATGGTTGTATGAAAACCTTTTGACGTTTATTTCGATGATTTTAAGGTAAAGCAGTAATGACGTATGTCGAGAAAATCCTCGATAATAGATATAACATCCGATGGAGTGGATGTTATCTCGATGATGGATGATAATTGATAGAGAGATTGGGATTTTCCATTTTTTTCTGTTCTAATTTGTTAACGATATAATTAAATAATGATTTTATAGATTTTTGATTTAATTAATTTATCCCGAACGTATATATGTAATTAAAATATTAATAAATAAAAATTTATGATGTTTATTATAATATAAATAAAATAATAATTACAAAATAGATAATTAAAATAATATTTAATGCTTTTCTATTTCAAAATAAAATAAAACACATATTATTTTTTGTTATATTATTAAAAAACTGTTTCATATAACACATATACATCTCTCACATTATATAGTAATATTAAAAATAATAAAATCTGTTTCGATAATTTCCTCCTGCAATTACATTCAACATATAAATATAAAATCCTCTAAACGATAAATTACCGAATTTAATAATTGCAATCATACCCAGCAACGAAACTGCAGAGTAACTAACCCATTGAAGTAAAAAGTAACCAGTCAAAATTTCGAATAAAGTTACTTTGAGTAACAAACTTTATTTAAAATATAACACCAATTGATCCCCTCTTCGCACAACCTGCGCTCTACACTCTGCTCCGCGGTTTATTCGATCGCTTTACGACGAATAACAAAGTCGAGTCGAAGTAACTTTATTCTTAACTTGGACCGAAATTCAAATTTTCTCCCGAACGAAAGTGAAGTGGAAATACGATAGGCACATACCTGTGTGGAAGTCGGACGTCGATAGATAAACGAGGCAGCAAGTCGTTAGGAGCCGAAGGAGCCACATGACACTACACATGATTGCCCGACGCGTGGCTCCTCCCTTCCTTATCTGTTCCCGCTGCTGCGGTTCGCGTACCGCTGCCTCGACATCGCTGTCATCTGAAACACACGACCGGATATCACGATAGTTTCAGCCGGCATCCATGCGCCAACGTGGCTCCAACTTATCTCCAAGTCGCATTCGAATTCCCTTCTACACGTGCGGATTGATCAAGTTTTGAAAAGCAGATTGGCCGAAATGTGTAATTGTTCGCAAAATTGTTTAATTTTCTCATTGATCGAATGAAATATGTTGTATAGAACAAAAGTGTGGGAGCATTGGAAGTTCTTGAGGTAATTTTTTAAACAATATTTTCCTTTGTTAAAGTTAATAAATGAAAAATATTGGCCAATTACAGAAGATGGTAGCGATGGGTATGTGCAGAGTTCGAACAAACAATATGTGTTCAAGTAGCAAAATTGTGGTATATATAAATTATTTGCAAAAAATTTTTGATACTATATCATTGAATTTTACGTGTTGTATTGTGTTTATCAATATTATTCAATTATTGGTAATAAATTGATAGTAAAAATCTGTGAGAATTTCTTTTGAAACGAACGATATGTTTATTTTGACTCTCGTGCCTTCTCTTCTTTCGTTTATTTCTTCTTTTATGTTTGGTAAAATACAAAGGAAACTCCAAGCTCTAAAGCTACATTCAGAATCCACTATTCCATGCATGCTCAGCTTTGATCCCGATTTTCAAACAACTTGTTCAACTTTTATCAGCTACATACCAATCTTCTCCATTTCAAAATTACGATTGTAAAACGTTCGATCGTTCGATTCGATGTACATTTTATTTATTCTAAATAAATCTATTCCAAAAATCTTTTCCTTATGCTTGGCAAATGCGAGTTATTATCGATTCGTCAAAACCATGACGAATAAAATGACATTTTTCAACATAAATATAGAAATGTTTCCATATATGCCGAGCTTTGATCTTATTTTATTTATCGATATTACCTTTTCTTTAAAAATCACGATTGTAGGATTGTGTTCGAAAAAGAGGCAACGATACAGGGGAAGTTGGGGTACGACACCCCCGGTGCCATAATGTAATTAACTCGTTTTATTTTAGCGGCTGTGGCCCGCTAATATGAAAGTATCGCAGGCTCCGTGGGGATTAACTTCTGAAACTTTCCCACGGGTGGCGTACGCGGATTTTAATTAAAGTATAATTAAGCACTGGAGGAATCCGTTCAACGAAACAAAGAATTGACGACCCTCTCCGTTCCTCCCCACCGTTGGCTCGTCGTAATCTCTCGAAAACCGAAGAGGGCAAAGGCAAAGTTTCTGGGTGAATGTGGCCGCGAATTGTTAAGACTTAAACGCAATTAGCGTGTGGGTAGAGTTTAATCAATTGAAATAGGATAGGTCGTACACGTTTGTAGAGCGACCGGTGAATATTCGTGGCTAAATTGCGATTCTATTTTAGTTTCAATTATACTGCTGAAAATGGACGATCTAATATTGCCATTGTATCGTAATCTAGAATATTAATGGCAGGGATTAATTTTCTTCTTTAAAGATTCTTAATTATTTGTAAAAAAGTCAAAATCCAATTTATAAATAAATCTATTGTATAAACAGTATAAGCTATGATTCTCTCGTTTTTAACACATCTCATTTATATCTAATAATTATCAGCTTCGAAAAGTGATGAATGACCAATGGAGAGAAACCTGATGGAAAAAAAATTAATTAGAAATAAAGAAGTTTAAAAGAACCAAGACTTTAAATGATCGAAAAGAAAAAAACTTGTATATTCATTTTTAACTTTTACATTTTAGTTTCTATCAAGCATCTTACCAAATAAAAATAATTTTGAATTCCAAATGATTCCACGGAAAATATTTTCATTATTGTACGAATTTATCGTTCATTACGATTAACAAGTAACATCGATCGCGCTATCATGGACCTCCTAATGGCCTTAGGAGAATCTAACTTTTTAGCATTAGCAACCGCTGAATCGTCAGTCTACGTAGAGGGGACAAAAAAATCCGCACCAAAACCGTGCCACCATTATCCAATCCCAGCTTCTAACGACGCAGCGAAATCAATCCCGTCTCTAGAATCGAGAAAACAGGTGAACGTGTCACGTATTCCCAACCTGGAACCGGCTACGTGCCCTTTCGTTTTTCATCTACCTTTAAGACCTTCTTATCCCTCCATCCGTTTCGAGATGAACGATTCGAGTCACGAACGAGCATCTTGCCTATATAGCCGTGGCTGCGTACTATTTGAATAAAAGCTGCGGTTCAGTTAACACGTATTTACTCTATTGGCTTAAGAATGCTTGGCCGCCATTTTACGTTCGCAACTTGGCGCCATCTGGGAGCTAGAGACTTGTGCCTTTTTCACGTCACACACCGTGCATGGATTTCTTTTGTCGGTCACGTGGCGCGGCAACGCTTTTTCGCCCAAGCGTATGGAGGACATTTAGCTTTGACGTTCGATTCGGATATCCTAATCGAATTTCGAGTCAAGCTTCGAGAAATTCTGGTTTCCCATGTACGAGTCACGTCGTGGAGAAAGATGTCGGAGGGGAAATGTAACGCAATCAACGATGAGTTTTTTTATTTGGGAAAATTTTGTCGAGGTAATCGTATTTTCTTTTTTTTTTTTTTCTTTTTACCATGTCGATGGTACGAAATTTCGGATATACGTAAGCGTTGAATTGTTTGTTAAAACAGGCGATTCAAATTTTAACGTGACACTTTTTATTCTTAACATATAGTAATTTAAACTAGGTCTAGATATTTTTTTGGACCTGTGATTTCTGTAAATTTGATGAAATTATTTTTATTATATGTGTTAAGGGAAAAGAAAGAGCTGAAATAAAGATTATTTATAAATATTCTATTAATTAATTTAATTTCCTTTAATGTTTTTTCTAATGCAATAACGAAACGAAATGTTTAATTCAAATGCATCTATCATATATTTAATTTTCTTTCTTATTATGGTAAATTATTATTAAAATATTTACGAAAACAAAAGAATTTTGCATTTTGGTCAGAGCAATATGGTATGCAGTTGTAATAAGAAAATAATTATCATAATTTGACAATTGTGGAGGATTTTAATTATAATTTTTTTTAATGGAATATGGTTCTTATCAGAACGAAAAAAGAAGATACGAAGAAAATTTTGAATTTTCCAACCTTTTTGAATTTTTTTACTTTAATTTACCAGTTAGAAATTTACATAATTATACACTTCATGCAACTAGTGAAGATAAGACGGTTAATTAAAATAATTTTATTTGAATAGCCTCTTTTTTCCTTACTGAAAATTTAGCATCATTAAGATTAAGAGAAAAAATTAAAATTTTAAAAAGTTTAATATAAATATATATCAAAGGATGGACGATGAACTTTTGACATTATTTCCATTTCAGAATCCTAAAAAAAACTTAAAAAATCAATAAAGATACTTACATCGTCCATTTGATTCGCAACTATCTCGAACATTTCTCGAAATGGAATATATTCTTAATCAAAGATACTCTCTAACGTCTCCATGTATAACCAAGAAATTAATTCCAAGGAAAGACATTTCCTTTTCACGTGGAAACGATACGAGGGCGGAAACGAACCCAATGTACCGTCGAAATTTATTTGTCTCGCCCCTTGACTCGCCCCTCTTCCACCCTCTTTTTCAACCACTTGACGATGTTTTACTCCTGACTCTGATCCCTGCCAAGTGTGTAAGTACACAAACGTGAATCCACCCTTAACACATCAAACTCTAACCACAGGTATCGTTAATTTTACCTCTTTTCCTTCTATTAATATTTGACAGTTTTTCACGGTTTTATCGATTTCCCACCAGAGAGCGCGCGTACAGAATTCTAATTCGAAATATCTAATGCCACGATGATCGGAGGCCATCTTAAAATCGGTTAGAAGATGGATAGAATGGGGCTCGTGCATCGGTTCTTTGATAAATTATACTCGAGGCGAGAGGGATGTTTGTTGTTCAAACACGGGTCGGATAATGGTTTAAGTGTTGCCTTACCATAAGCAAGAATCACCGTTATCACGGGAGATAAAGGTACACGAGTTCTCGTTTAAGACCCTGAAATGGTTAACTACACGTGCTCCCATAAAAGGAGCAAATTAGAGTACGGTTTGCTGATGAGACGTTTCAACAGAGTTCTCAGGTTTCGCAGTATTTCTCCATGTGTTTAAGGTTCTCCTTAGGGGGGTTTCTTCAACATGATTCACGTAAAAAGGGAATTATTTCTGTTAACAAAGAGTGTGTTATTATTGAAAAATTACGTATACGTGATATTTGATAAAAATACGTGTAAAAAATATATTTTCTTGATAATTTTACGGTTTTCTGATGAGATGTTTCAACAGAGTTCTCAGGTTTCGTAGTATTTCTCCATGTGTTTAAGGTTCTCTTTAGGTTTCTTCAACATGGTTCACATAAAAAGGGAATTATTTCTCTTAAAAAAGAGTATGTTATTATTGAAAAATTACGTACACGTGATATTTGATAAAAATACGTGTAAAAAATATATTTTCTCGATCATTTTCCTTCTTCAAATCGTAGCTTAAATTAATCAATTGTTCTTTTTAATAAGAAAAAATATATGTGAAGAAAAGAGAACAAGCTAATATTATTGAAATATTTTTTTCTTTATATTCTTCTCTAAATTCTTCTTTCTCATATTCTTCTATAAATATTCCCTTATTTCCTATTCCTTTTATAAATTTTTTCCACAAAATCGTTGCGAACCAATGCTTCAGAAACATCATAAATCGAAACTAATACGAACTACGTGAATTCGGTGCTACGAAACGAGCAAAACTACTCCTTTATTAAATTCTCGTTTAACATGGAACGTTCGTGAAAAGGCCAGATAAAACCATTTTTGCTTCTACGTCGTCGTCGAAAAATCCTGATTACTAAAACGTGATCCCTCTAACGAGAACTGTTTCGATATTATACGTCGATTTCGAGGCAAAGTTCAACATAACCTCACTCAGTTTTTCGCTTTTTTCCACGTTAAAATATAATTTCCATCGTTTTCGAT